CGCGGTGGCTTCAAGCCTGTAATCCCAGCACTTTGGGAGGCCGAGGCGGGCAGATCACTAGGTCAAGAGATCGAGACCGTTCTGGCCAACATGGTGAAACCCCGTCTCTACTAAAAAATACAAAAATTAGCTAGGTGTGGTGGCGCACGCCTGTAGTCCCAGGTACTCAGGAGGCTGAGGCAGGAGAATTGCTTGAACCTAGGAGGCGGAGGTTGCAGTGAGCCAAGATCGCGCCACTGCACTCCAGCCTGGGTACAGAGCGAGACTCCGTCTCAAAAAAAAAAAAAAAAAAATTATGTTCTAATTTTCTAGATTACAACGCTCAACGCTGCAGTCGCTCCGCCGTTACAGTTTAAAAACTCTTAAGTCCCTATCACCCTCGCCTACTGCAGGCGCGCAGCGCGCGGCAGTTCGGATCTCGTAGTCTTGGACTGATTCCCGAGGACCATGGTGCCGTGCGGCGGGTCGCCGCGCCTGCGCGGTGCGGGCGGCGGGCAGCGCAGAGTGCGAGGCTCTTTTGTTCGGTTGAGGGGAGGGCCGTTGGCCGGGGCCTGCGGTACGCCGCTCCAGTGAGGTGCTCCATTGCGGCCACCGGGCTTGCTGCCTTCCTGGGCGCTACTCCTCCGGCCGACCCGACGCGACGCGCCAGTAGCGCAGCACCGATTCCTCTCCGGCTCTTGGGCGCTGCTCTGAGGTGAGGAGCCCGCTGGAGGCGTGAGAGCTGGGGGAGGGGGCGCGGTGGCGGCGGCGGCGGCGGGAGCCCTGCATCGGGGCCCGCGCTTTCGAGGCAGAGGTTAGGAGCGGGGAGCGCGCCCGGGTCCAGCGTCCTGTTTTTCCACTTCCCGCGCTGAGCTCTCCGCCTGGCGCTGAGGCGTCGTTGCCATCTGCGAGAAGGATGGAGAGGGCGGGGCGCGAATCCTGAGCCAGAGAGTGAAGCTCTTCAGGGTGGGCCGAGCACTTGGGGGCAGCTTTTCCGTGCCCGGGTAGTCCGGGACAGTGCTGCTTGGGTTGGGTGGGCGGCTGCGGGATAGGGCTGGAGAGAAAACACTTTACAAGATTGGGCAGGGGACAGGCTTGAGCCTTGGATAGGTGTGAGAAGGAGCTGACGACTGCGAGACCCGAGGTTTGTAACTGTAATCGGAGGACCCCGGGTCTGGCCGGGGCTGCCAGAGAAACCTAGTTTTGCAGGACTACGGAGGAGTAACTTGGAGTGAATTGAAAGAGGGCCCTGGGCCGCACAAAGTGTGCCCATTGGCGGAGAAAGATGGAATAAATTGGGAAAGGGGGCACGGAGGGGGAGGGGCAAGCGTTTGCTGGGCCTGGCTCTGGAAGGGGAGGAGCTGTTAGGATAAATAGGGCGGAGATCCCGAGAATATTTCTGTAAGGTGTGTAAGAGAAAAGGGGAAAGGAGGCCGCCCTTGCTTCCTGATGGGTCCTTACAGTGGGGAGGCTGTAAAATAATATGTGAAGAAAGGATTTAATACGCTTTCTTCACTTTTCCAGGTTTCCTACTACCTTCGCTCCATGATTCCTTTGGGGAGTTAAAAAAGTCCAAGTGTAGCTCTTGCTTTGATTCAAAATTAGTTCCATAAGTTTTTGTCTGGGATCGTTACTGGTCTCACAAAGGTGATAAAATTGTAAACATGCATAGGTGAGTTAACAGTTAAGGAATGGAGTGAGGTAGTGATGACATCGTGTGAGGTGGGAGAAACTGGGAGACAGGAAGCAAGAAGTATGTGAGATTGTGAGATAATACTTGTTTCGTGGGCCCTTCTGTTTTTTAGCCAGATTTTCCTTGTTGGAAACTTTGAATACGGAGTGAGCAGTATTTTACCTCTTTTTCAACTCTTCAGATGAGGGTTTTTCATGAATTGATGTTACATTATACTTGTGTTGGTTTAAGTCAGTTGAGGTGGAATTTACGAAAAGACAGCTGTAATCTGTTATACTAGAACCTCTAGCCTAGGGTAAAGTAGTCTCCTCAATTGTGTTAAGAATCACACCAGCAGTTTGGAAAAATTGTGAAAGGTCCAAGGCTTTGGAATAGATTCAGGAATACAATGGGGAAATTAATGCCGGTCTGGTGTTCCTCCTTAGGTGCCTTATAGACTTTTATAGGAAAGTGGTGTGATTGAAAAGCCCTTGTATTGAAACCAGGTGTACCTTAATGAAGCTTCAGGGCAGTGGAGGACCTGAAGTCATTTACGATTTTCCCTGTGGTGATATTTTTCTTCAACGGCTGCTGTTATTCTAAATTATTTTTCGTTAAAAATGTAAATAATGGGGGGGGGGCTCACGCCTGTCATCCCAGTACTTTGAGAGGCTGAGGTGGGCGGATCACCTGATGTCAGGAGTTTGAGACCAGCCTGGCCAACATGGTGAAACCCCGTCTCTACTAAAAATACCAAAATTAGCCAGGTGTAGTGGCACACACCTGTAGTCTCAGTTCTTCGGGTGGCTGAGGCAGGAAAATAGCTCGAACCTGAGGCGGAGGTTACAGTGAGATGAGATGGCACCAGATGGCACTCCAGCCTGGCAAGAGAGGGAGACTGTCTCAAAAAAAAAAAAAGATAAATAGTTTTGAATGTAAATAGAAGCCTAGTGCTTATAGCTTCTACATTAAAAGAGACCGAGTAAGGTACCCTAGTCTTCTGCATTTCTGAATACAGGATACCTATAACTTACAAACCATATCTCAAAAGAAGCACTCATTCTTGTGCCCATTTTAAGGACTAGGAAAATGTTTCTTTTTGTTGTTCACACCATTTGAAAAGAATTCCTTAAATTTTGGCATCCTCTAGTGGTTTATCCAGCAAAACCTCCCTTTTTAAAAAATACCCTGCCGGGTGCGGTGGCTTACGCCTGTAATCCCAGCACTTTGGGAGGCCGAGGTGGGTGGATCACAAGGTCAAGAGATCGAGACCATCCTGGTCAACATGGTGAAACCCCATTTCTACTAAAAAATACAAAAAATTAGCTGGGCATGGTGGCACGTGCCTGTAATCCCAGCTACTCAGGAGGCTGAGGCAGGAGAATTGCCTGAACCCAGGAGGCAGAAGTTGTGGTGAGCTGAGATTGAGCCATTGCACTCCAGCCTGGGTAATAAGAGCGAAACTCCATCTCAAAAAAAAAAAAAAAAAAAACAAAAAACCCTATATGTGGTGGTACAAGAGATTTTCCATTAGATTTGGTAGATTTTCACTTCATAGGTTATTTCTATGAAGAGTTTTTGGAGTAGAAGGCTAATTGCTAGTTTATGGACTCCCATAAAATGGGGCCATACCTCTTGTTCATTAGTGCCTGCCACATAGTAGGCTGTTCAGATTGTTGATGAATGAATGAATAGGGGAGCTTTGAGATCCATTCTGAGAACTCTGTGTTAGCCAAATTAATGTGCATTTATGTATTTAGTAGTTTGCTTGTCTTATTATCTGTGTCATTTGGCAGAGTTAAACTGTTGTCTTTGGCATGCTTGTCTTAGCCTCAGTTTCTTTTTTTGTTGTTTTTGTTTTTTTGAGATGGAGTTTCACTCTTGTTACCCAGGCTGAAGTGCAATGGCACGATCTCAGCTCACCGCAACCTCTGCCTCCTGGGTTCAGGCAATTCTCCTGCCTCAACCTCCTGAGTAGCTGGGATTACAGGCACGCACCACCATGCCCAGCTAATTTTTGTTTTTGTAGTAGAGACGGGGTTTCACCATGTTGACCAGGATGGTCTTGATCTCTTGACCTCGTGATCCACCTGCCTCGGACTCCCAAAGTGCTGGGATTACAGGCTTGAGCCACCGCGCCCAGCCTGTTTTTGTTTTTTTAGGCAGGGTCTCACTCTGTTGCCAGGCTGGAGTGCAGTGGGGTATCATGGCTAATTGCAGCCTCAACCTCCTGGAGACAAGCAATCCTTCCACCACAGCCTCTTGAGTAGCTAGGACTACAGGCTCATGCCACCACGCATGGCTTCTTTTTTTGTAGAGACAGAGTCTCTGTTGCCCAGACTGATTAGCCTCAGTTTTGTACTCACTCTGGTACTAAATATAGTAAAGGTATACAGACTGTGCAGTTGGCCATTTTAAATACCTTAGGCCTCAGATTCTGGGTTTCATCAGCAAAAAAAATAGCTTGAATATATCTGTTTTAAAAAAAATCTTGAAAATCTTCCTGTCCTTTGTATTGACCTGAGTAATACCAGTAGTGATGTCTGTTGAAAAACTGACTAGCACCTGGCGAGGTTGGCTCATGCCTGTAATCCTGGCATTTTGGGAGGCCAAGGTGGGTGGATCACCTGGGGTCAGGAGTTTAAGACCAGCCTGGCCAACATGACAGAACCCCGTCTCTACTAAAAATACAAAAAAATGGCCGGACGCAGTGGCTCACACCTGTAATCCTAGCACTTTGGGAGGCCAGGGCTGGCAGATCAGGAGGTCAAGAGATTGAGACCATCTTGGCCAACATAGTGAAATCCCGTCTCTACTAAAATACAAAAGTTAGCTGGGTGTGTGGCGCATGCCTGTAGTCCCAGCTACTCGGGAGGCTGAGGTAGGAGAATTGCTTAGATCTGGGAGGCAGAGGTTGCAGTGAGCCAAGATTGCACCACTGCACTCCAGCCTGGCACCAGGCAACAGAGCAAAACTCTGTCTAAAAGAATAAAAAATATAAGCCGGGCATGGTGGTGGGTGCCTATAATCCCAGCTACTTGGGAGGCTGAGGTAGGAAAATCGCTAGAACCCTAGCGGGTGGAGGTTGCACTGAGCCAAGATCGCCCCATTGCACTCCAGCCTGGGCGACAGAGTGAGACTGTCTCAAATAAAAAAATTTAAAAAACACGAAAAATTGTATAACCTTTCCAAGGTTAATTGGGGAAGTTACTCAAATATGGACAAAACTTAGATTCTGTCAGTATTTGCATAGAATGATTTGTATTAAATCTTTCCTGCCTTTAGCATTTATACTTTGATGACCAGAAGGGGGCGACATAATTTGTGAAATTATGCCTTTTAAAGTAATAGTTGACACTTTGAGGGCCTAACAGAACTGTGGTATTATTATTATTATTATTTTATTTTTTATTTTTTATTTTTTATTTTTTGAGACGGAGTTTCGCTCTTGTTACCCAGGCTGGAGTGCAATGGCGCGATCTCGGCTCACCGCAACCTCCGCCTCCTGGGCTCAGGCAACTCTCCTGCCTCAGCCTCCTAAGTAGCTGGGATTACAGGCATGCGCCACCATGCCCAGCTAGTTTTTTTGTATTTTTAGTAGAGACGGGGTTTCACCATGTTGACCAGGATGGTCTCGATCTTTCGACCTCGTGATCCACCCACCTCGGCCTCCCAAAGTGCTGGGATTACAGGCTTGAGCCACCGCGCCCGGCCTTATTATTATTATTATTAAGACAGAGTCTTACTCTGTCGCCCAAGCTGGAGTACAGTGGTGCTATCTCAGCTCACTGTGACCTCTGCCTCCCAGGTTCAAGCCATCCTTCTGCCTCAGCCTCCAGAGTAGCTGGGACTACAGGTGCCCGCCACAATGCCTGGCTAATTTTTATATTTTTAGTGGAGATGAGGTCTTGCCATGTTGGCTGGACTGGTCTTGAACTCCTGACCTCAGGTGATCCACCCTCCTTGACCTCCCAAAGTGCTGGGATTACAGGTGTGAGCTACCATGCCCGGCCTGTAGTATTAATTTTTCACTGACAAACAAA